CAGTATCTTGAGGAAATTTTTTATTAATTGAAAAGTAACATTTTAAAAAGACGTCGATCTTACTAGGGGTTTTCATTTGTTTTCCGCCGTGATCTTCACTGATCGTAAATCAAACAAATCTCGGGATGATTTCTTAGAAAAGATATTAGCCCAGCAAGGTCAAAAATATCGGAAATAAAATGAAACGTTAAGCTAATTTTAGCAGTTCGAGGGACTTCATGATATAAAAAAATAGTTTCCCTTAAAAACAAACACTTGCAAAATCTGACAGCGCAATAAAAAAAAACCCAGTAAAGAAAATTGGTCCGGTGATCATTTCATCATTTTGTGATACCCTTCCACATTTCGTATTGGATGGATCCAAATTCCCGTGATTCCTAAAAAACACCACTTATCTCTCCCCCAAATTTATTAAGGTAAAAAAAGGAAATAATTTTTTTTTTTTTTTTTTATTAATGAGCAGTATCTATTCGTCAATCATTATTATTATGTTTGTTTTTAATAAAATTAAAAGGTAAATACTAATTATAACAGGTAAGTCATTGTCGGTCTAATCCATCTTGAGTAAGAAATGGTGGTCTTTTTAGATGGACCGTGTAAAAAAAAATTCTAAAAAGAAAATCTTGTAATTTATTAAAAATATATATAAAAATATAAACATGAACTTATCAAAAATCAAATGATCGGTGGGACCAAAAAAATGAATGAATATATTTATATATTTAATGGTGGTCTATAAATCAATGACAATCCTTTTTGATGAATAGAAAAGGAAATAAGTAAAATGACTGTAGAGTTTTTTTTTTTTTTTTTTTTTTTTTTTTTTTCCTTTTTACAATTAGCGAATCATCTCGTAAATTAAAGACAATTTTTTTTTTTCCTTTTTAAATGAGGTAAATTCTTATGCATGTACAATTACAAAATAAATGTGTTTTATATCCAAACTCAAAATTTACGGATATAAACAATTCGTCTTTGAAACGCATAATTTGGTGTATAAGAATTAGTCAGTTAATTATGCGTGTGAAATGTTTGGTTGCGCAACGTAAATGCGTGTACCACAGGAAAGAGAAGCGCGCACATTTATAGATTAAAAATTGTGTTGACGCAAAAAAAACACGCATGTAACGCAACTGCCGTGGTTGATCGTTGGTAAAAGACGAGTTAAACTCTTACATAATATGCTAACCGCAAATAATAATGCGAGTGTTTGTTTTCCGAAAAATTTTCAGCGGAAAATAAAAAAGGAATTTTTTTTTTATGAATTACGGAGGAATTACACAGTAATTTTGATGATCATGTATCAGAATTTCTTAATAGTTCCTGTAAATAAATTACAAGAAAATTTTTACAATTGGTTTGCGAACAATAAGGTAACACCAATGTCTTACGACAAAGACATGACACTCCCTATAGTCAAGTACCCATATTTAAAAAAAATATGATTATTTTCTAAGTTTGACCATTTTTTTAAATTGGTTGTTACATGGAATCCGAATGTGGAATTCCAATATTTTTAATATTTATTTTTTTTTTTGGGTTCCATTGTTTTTTTTATTTATTTTACTCTTAACCTTCTTTTTTTCTTTCATTTACTTTCCTTTTTTTTATTTTTTCATTTTTTTCTATTTATGTCCTTAAGTACAGGGTTTATCTAGCCTTGCAAACTTAAATCATTTGTTGAGCGTTCAAGTTTTTTTTTTTTTTATCAGTTTTTTTTTTTTTCTTTTTCACAAAGGAAAAAAAAAAAAAATTTTATTTTCCTTTATGTTTTCTAACATCATCTCTCACGTCAACAATTGTCCTGATAAAAATTCATCTCGGCATTCCCTCTCGTCTTGAAAATTTTTACATCCATCACATTCCTTACCCAAACGACATTATTCACCTTATCACATAAATTCCCAAATTATCATTTTGAAAAAAAAGTAATCATTTCTTTAATACCGTTGTTCATTCATCACCTCAATACTTTTTAGACACTTATCGAATCTATCGATTATTTATCCACAGCACATATACTACTTTCCCCCCCCCCCCACCCTCCCCCCCCCCCCCCCCCCCCCCCCCCCCCCCCCCCCTCTTCCTTCCCCCCCCCCCCCCCCCCCCCCTCCTTTCTTTTTTTTTTTAAATTTCACGATTTAAAAAATAATAATAACGACATAATCAATCATCCGTCCTATTATTTATCTATATTCTTTGCACGCAATTAATTTCGTGATCGAATTTCCCTCATTTTATTTTCAAAAAAAAATAGTTAAGAGTATAAATAAAAAAAAAAAAAGTTCAAAATATAAAAATAAATTTAGAGGAAGGAGATTTCATTTGTCTTTTCTTTTTTTTGAGATATATATATACATAAAAATGATCAAATCATCCATATTAAACCCATTACGGGTCCCAATAATAATATGTCTTTTAATTGTTATAAATTGGGTCATGTTATCGAATTTGAGTAAAGGTCAAAATCATCATTCGAATTCATTAAATGGTGTGCTGGACTCACCCAATATTAGTATAAAACGATCCATTTTATATCCTAGACAGGAAGATGGAAATAAAGATCCACCAAAGAATGATGAAAAGAAACCATCGGAACAAAAGGAACCTGAAGAAAAAAAGCCGGAAAATAAAGAACCAGAGCCTAAGGAAAAGCCGGCTGAAAAAGAAGAGCCAAAAGAACAGGAGCCCGATAAAAAAGAGCCGCCTGAAAAAGAAAAGCCAATAGAACCAGAGCCTAAGGAAAAACCGGGTGAAAAAGAAGCGCCAAAAGAACCAAAGGAACCCGAGGAAAAGGAAAAAAAGCCGGAAAATAAAGAACCAAAAGAACCAGAGCCTAAGGAAAAACCGGTTGAACAAGAAGAACCGAAAGAGAAACCTAATGAAGAACCAAAGGAACCAAAGGAACCAGTACCTAAGGAAAAACCGGTTGAACAAGAAGAACCGAAAGAGCCCAAGAAACCTAATGAAGAACCAAAGGAACCAAAGGAACTAGTACCTAAGGAAAAACCGGTTGAACAAGAAGAACCGAAAGAACCCAAAAAACCTAATGAAGAACCAAAGGAACCAGTACCTAAGGAAAAACCGGTTGAACAAGAAGAACCGAAAGAGCCCAAGAAACCTAATGTAGAACCACAGGAACCAAAGGAACCAGTACCCAAGGAAAAACCGGTTGAACAAAAGGAACCAAAAGAACCTAAAAAACCTAATGAAGAACCAAAGGAACCAGTACCTAAGGAAAAACCGGTTGAACAAGAAGAACCGAAGGAACCCAAGAAACCTAATGAAGAACCAAAGGAACCAGTACCTAAGGAAAAACCGGTTGAACAAGAACCGAAAGAGCCTAAGAAACCTAATGAAGAACCAAAGGAACCAAAGGAACCAGTACCTAAGGAAAAACCGGCAGAACAAGAAGTACCAAAGGATCCTTTAGATGTTGTTCCGGTCAATGGAAAAGATCCAAAGGAACCGGAACCAAATGAAAAGCAACCTCCCAAACAAGAAAATGGTAAAGAACCAAAGGTTCCAGCTCCGAAGATTCCACCCAAAGAACAACCACCAAAGAATGGTAAAGCTCCAAAAAATCCCGCCGTTGAACCAAAGAATCCAGAAGGCGAACCCAAAACATCAGAACCAAGTGTAACGAATTCTGAGCCAGCACCAACCAAGAGTAAAACCCCATCACCCCAACCCACAAAAGATCCTAAATTCAGTAAAAACCCAAATGAACCTCAAGATCCCGAACCAAATGATAATGGAACTGACAAACAAAAACCAAAGAATATAGACAAATTTATTCCTCCATCAAAAATACATATCACTTTGAATACGTCAGTTCCTGGAACAGCCACGGTCACAATTCCTAGCAACATTCCTGCAGAGATTGTTATTAATGAAAAAGCCTCGTATGGAGCTCTTCTTCGTAAGTATTTGCATGATTTATGTTTGATAATTTTCAAACCTAGATATTGACATTTAATAACTTAAATTCTAGCGGGTACCGTTCAAGTTCAGTTGAAATTTTCGAATCAACTTCTATGGGTAGATCTAGTTAAAGATGATATTTTACCTACACAGTTTGCCCAATTTTTGAAGCGAGATATTGCAAATTTTGTTGATATTGATCCCAATGAAGTCATAATTAGTGAATTGGAAGCTGCTGATGACGGAGGTGTTATTATGAAAATAATTATACCCGAGAACAAATTTGAAGAATTTTCAAACGTAATCAAAGACACCACGAATCCGTTTTACTCAGAGGGTTCGGAATTAAATAAATTGATTGACACAAAAATATCTCCATTATTAGTTGGTATGTAATTTAACATATTTGGATATTTTATTAATTGAATTGATAATTTAATATTAATTTGATATTTTATTTTTATTTTCAAAGCCAACCAAAACGGTGACAAAACAAATATATTAGGTCCGGTACCGGCTGATGCAATAAATGAGCCAGTCAACACAAATAAGGGAATAATTATTGGATTTGCAGTCGCTGGCTCAACGGTATTATATGCAGGATTAACGGCTCTTGTTATTCGAGCTTATAAGAGAAGCAATTCCAGACCCATGACAAGACAAGAAAATTATGTGTATGGAACACAAGTAGAGTGATGGAAATGTATTATAGTAAACCTTGCGTTATCAACATAAACTAGATTTTTTTTCTTTTTAGTAGAAAAATTGATGTATTCTATAATTTTACTCCTTTGCGTTTTTTTTTTTATTGTATTTTTCACTTTCATTGTATTTATTTTTCAATCATTCTACACCAAATCACAGTATATAACTTCACACCTTTTTTATTACTATTTTCATAATAAATAAAAAATTTGTCTTTTTTTTTTTTTTTTTTTTTTGGATAGTCATTATATATATATACTTTATACTGTATACTGTATATATATATACATACATTTATTTATTTAATTTAATTTAATCTAATATGTTCAATTCTTTTTTTGATTATTTTCATTTTCATTTTATTAAACTGTTTATACTAAAAATAAAGTATTTCCTTCCTTAATACCAATCCTATTACAAATATCTTGAATAGAAATCATAAAACCCTTATTACCACAAACAATAATTTTAGATTCATCAGGAAAATAATTGATAGCAATATTGGGAGGATGAAGAACTGTAGAATGTGAAACAGAAGACTCGATTAATGGATCCTGTTCAACATTAGAAGGATATTGTTGTTGTTCTTGATCTTGTTGAATAACTGGAGTATTATAAATATCAAAACTATCTCCGGCAACCTGTGGTCGAGGATAATAAACTGTTTGATTAGGTATCACGCCACTAGTATATTCTACTTGACTTTGTTGACCAAGGTTAGGATCAATGTCGATAGAAAGGTGAGAACCGATATTAATTTTGAAGGATAACCAATCAAACAAAATAACATCATCAATGTATCCTTTAAGACAATCCCAATTATCTGGCGGATTAGAAAGTATATAATCAATAGTAAGATTTCCTTTAAATTTTCTAACTAAACTATCTAAATGTTTTGGATAAATAATATCTGCAGCCGTATTATTTGCAAATAATAAGTGTAACTTGTAAGTATTTGGTGGCGCGTAACTTTGTTTTAATGAACTCTGATATTCCTGTAAATGATAATGAATCTAAAATAAAATGAAATGAGATGATAAATAATTTTATTTTCCCGGTGATAAAAAGTAAAATCTGTCACGATATTTACCAATTGTAACATTGGAGTTATACCAGAACCACCACAAATCATGAATAGATTACTCCAGCAACCATTTATTTGATTTGGATTTAACAAAATATTAGGTATGGGTTGACCAATTGGCATTGGAATGTTTTTGAAAATGCTTTCAGAGACGTTAAACGGCCCTCTAACCGATATTTCGAAATTATTTAATTGTCTGTCCTAAAAATGCAATAGAATATATTAATAAAGATCATTTTTGTATTAATATAATTATTTATTTACCATATATTTAGACATGAATCCATCCTTGTAAATTTTCACTAATATCCAAAACCTTCTATCCAAATTATAATTATTTCTATCAACATCCTCGTCATATTCTTCGGAAAATTCTTGCAATAAAGGCGTATATTTTCTAATGATCATTTGATTATCGATGTAACACATGATTTCAATATAATCTCCGGGAATGAATTTTCTAACAGGAAAATTATCATGTTTCCGAATCGGCTTTAATGTAAATTTTTTAACTATTGGTGATCCATATTTGTAAATATCATGATTTGTCACTATTTCAATATTTGTTATTATGCACCTATGAAAGATGGATAAATCAGATGAATCAAAATGACTTAGTTGCCGTTGCTGCTGATGTTGCTGCTGCTGCTGCTGTTGTTGTTGGGGAAGATTTTGTTGCACATTACTTGCAGCGATTTCCTCTTTTTTGGTGATTAACTTAGCAACAACCATGGTGGCCAATTTGGTCGTCGCGTACAGTGAATGACTATGAACGGCAACTCTACTTAACTTTTTTCCAAAAAATTTATTTACATTGATAATATCAATAAAGTTTGCAAATGTCTCATTCTTATCCCTTCTATTCATATTATTCCTTTTAAAAATATTGCTAAACTGTTGATCCTTTTCATTAAATGTGAGAAATTCTTCTTTATCATCATTACTACTTGATTGACTGTCTTCGTATTTACGAGTGATATAAAAGAAGTCCTTTGTGATATCAGTTCCAATCACTCTTTGTAAGATCTTTACCCCTCCAGGATGATATTTCATCCATTTACTTATGTCAAATATCATACCTTCCACTATGACCAACTTCATTCCACGAATTACTCTTTGATTAAATTCATCCAATGTCATTGTTGGTAATTGATCATAATCTCTAATGTAATGTTGTAATCGGAATTCGGTGACACGTGTATCCTCGTTAACCATAGTATACAAAAATTTCATATTTCTCATTCTAAATATATTTTCGCTTATAAAGAATGTAGCCACTATTAGTCCTATCCAAATTAAATAAATAGTAATCCAACGATTATTACTCCAAAAATTTTCGTTGTTATAATCTTTTATTCCAATATACATATTCACCCTACGAGGAAAAAAAAAATTTTTTTTAAAAAAAAATAATAATATTATTATTATTATTATTTAACGATAGCTTACCATGCGAGAATGATTAATGCAATTCCCAAAAACAAATGAATAATTTTGAATAATTTGATAATCCCCATATTAACTGATTCAACGTTTACAAGATTCCAGATATTGAACATCCCTATTCCAATCTGTACACCCATTATACAAAATATTGTTATTCCGATTCTAAATTTTTTTTTTTTTTTAAAAAAAAAATAATGTAAAATTTTTATGCTTAATGAAAAACATTTGAAAGATGGTGAAATGCTTACATTCCGTGAGCACCTTTTATGAATCGTGTTTCCATTATGGCCAAGGCTATGCCGCCAAATATGGCAACGATCACCGTTCCAAACAATTGTAAATTTCTGTGAAATTTCATGTAGGAACCTACCGTTTTCATGTATCTGACTCTCCATATTGAAACTGATTGCATGAACACAAAATCAATAGTTTATATAACTCGAAAAGAAAAGAAAAGAAAAGAAAAGAAAAAATAATAATTACTTGGAAAAAGAATTCTATATATTATTTTTTTTTAAAAAAAAAAATATTACTTTTTAAACGAGGGAATAATTAATGAATGAATTGCTTTTTTTTTTTAAAAAAAAAAAGATGAAATCTTACCCCCATACTAGGAACATTCCAATTCCATGAGATAATAAATTTTGTCTTCTTTTATTTATAAATGTTGCATCTGAAAAGAAGTTCAAGTTCGGTATTACTCCCCTATTTCCTGCATGATACGTTAGAACGTTACTATTTGGATTCCACGCATAGATCACTAAATTCGGTTAATTACTTTTTGATTAAAAACTATAAAAATAAATAAATAAATCAAAAATCAAAGAAAAATATAGATAGTCACGAGATAAATTCCTATCGGCGGTAATAGGTTTCATGTCACTTCCTTTGACGTTTAATGGCCTAACAATTTCAACATGAGTATAAAGACCACTACTAATCCTCTGATTTGTCCTTTGAATTAATTGATTCTGATCATCAACTAATTGAGGAGTGAAATAAGCATTTGCTTTATATTGTTTTACTTCAAGATAAGATTCGTTAATGTTCCGACAAATGATCATGTCGGAAGTGATCATGCTTCTATCGTTGGGGTCACTGAAACCAATGGCGAACCATCCAACCGTACTAGCCGAAATTAACTTGAGATGAATATTAAGACCAATTATTTCCCAAAACATCTCATAATCATCTGAAAATGTTAAATGATTTGATGAAGAATAGAAAAGATCATTTTGAAGAACGTTGTCTTTATCATTGTTTGGTATATAGTCTGGTGTATATTCCGGCGTTACGGATTTTAATGATGTTGATGGTTGTGTTATCCATATATTTGCCGGTAATTTATATGTTTCCGGTGAATTCCTCGCTATTATTTGTGATAGAGTTGTATGATTTATCTCAAAAAGTTCTTGATAGCTAAGTTCAGCATCAGCTTCTTCAAACCAAAGTCTGTCTGAATCTCTTGTCAACATCCACTATTCCATCAAGAAAAATAGATTTAGCCATGAGTAAAATAATAAAAATAATGATTATATTTTTAATAGGATACCTGATCATAAAAACTTTTATAAAATAATTCCCCAAAACTAGAACCATTAACATGATCCTCAGCAAGTCCACCAAGATATGCTTCAACTTTATCAATATCATTTGAATAAGTTTCAATCAATCTACTTTGTACGACAGTATCGTTTGTTATGTCTGACCATTTAGTGGCTCTTTTTAATCCCATTGCTTCTCTGGCATCATTATATAATGGTATTACATGATCTCTGTTCCTTATTACATCAATACTAATAATTAAAGATAGAATAATGTTAATAATGTTTAAGAGGGTTTCTCTTTAATTATGTATGAAAATTTAGGTTACCTAAAGATATCCATATATTCTGTAATATTTTGATGATGTGACGTAAAGTTTCTCATCAGATCCGAAAAAAATATATCGGTTTCTTCTTGTCTAAATATAAATATCAATAAAAATACTTTTTATGTAACCAATTCATTAAAAGCGGTGATATATTATTACCTTTGAAGAGCTAATGAAAGAGCTATGGAAGGCACGCCATAGGTTTCTAGCAAGCGAGGTCTCTGTAGTGAATTTAATGATAATGTGGCCAACACTTGTCCGTTATTATCAACAATACTATGATAATCACTATGATGTATATGTGTTTTTTTTTTTAAAAAAAAAAAAAAAATGGTTCAATATCGTAAAAGAAACATCAGCTTTAAAAATTAATTTTAATTTTAAATACCTGACTTCGGAATGACCATATCTATACGTAACGGTTGAAAAAAATGTATCTATACTAGGTACTAAACTTGGATTATATCCTTCATATGGTGGTAGAGGTGATCCTAAAGCAATGCCGACTTTTTGTTTTCCCAAAAAAGTGTCACAAATTTTATTATTTATTAACATCGTCATCATTATTAAAATTAATACTCACGATATTCATAAAAAGTAACACGTTGCAATAAAGCGATAACCCATTTTCTACATTCTTGGAAATATATTTCATCGTCCCAATCATCTCCATGTATGTTCCATAATAAATCACACCTCCTATTATGTTCTCTTAAGAATACCGTGTGAAACATATCGGTAAATACATTCCTTCCTTTGATAGCCGTGTATCCAAAAATATATTCACCATTTTCATCTGTTGGTGGATATCCAAACTGTGAGTCTTCTGAATGATTACTATAATATAACAACATCTTTCCATGATTCCAATAATCACGTACACGGGATAATTTCTCAAGATCATGACCATATAGTTGTGATCCGTCTAAAAATGGGGTGCCTGCATTTTTTCCCACCGAACCTGCTGTCGGAGATGATCGATTAAATTGCATTGCTGGCTATATGCGGGATATTACGTTAAAAAATTTTTAATTGAATTGAATGCCATTAAAATCACTAAAAAAAAAAAGAGAAATTAAAATACCAGATACATCACGAGACTTGCATTTTGAGGATTTTGTGACAAGTATGTTTGATCATCTTGAGGGATATAAATTCCGGTTGGGTAATTTACTCCAGAATAATCTCCAGAAGATATATCCATTTTCGTAAAGAATCCCCAATAAGTAAACTGTGGTGAAAAAAAAAAGAAGGGTATCCCTTCAGTATTTGCTGCGCCAAATTATGGACTGCGCCAAATACGTGCTTTCAAACTTACAATGTGAGAAATTTTACGTTTTGATTTGTACTTGTCCAAGAGATCTAAATTGTAAACATCATCCATATTTGCTTGTATGGATCCAATCTTATTGCTTGCACACCTAGGTAATGGAAATACATTCTTGGGTAAAGCAGCTGTGCAATTTGCAAATGCCTTCGGTACCCTTGAAGAATAATTTCCTGGTGTTGGGATCATGGACACCGCATTGTCATTATTAATGTTTGTATAGAAAGAAATTGGTGGGTTTGATCGAGATAATGGTGATGATATGACACCTAACGATGGGTTTTTCAAATTATTATTTGTACCGTTAAGTGTTCTGTATTCTGCGTAAATTAACGTGAATAATAATGGAATGAGAAATAAAGTAATCAAATGATTTGGCATTCTTTATTATTATTATTATTATGATTAATATTATGATTATTATTATTATGTTATTTATACTTTATGCTCGATATAATTATATACATCAATTTTGTGAAGGAAAAAAAAGTAAAAAAAAAAAAAAAAAAAAAGCCGAATTTATAATCGAAATATAAATTCCCCTTGGGATGGGAAAAAATCAACAAAATTTAAATGATAAACAAGGTAATAATTGTCCCATAATGGCTTAGCCTTACCGTTCGGTTATTCTACGATTACGCCTAAGCCATGATACTTTTTCTCAATTGCTATTTCAAATTAAATGAATTTGGTTTAAAACATTTTCGTTTACTTGGCTGACTGCGGAATGATGATCCGGAATTGGTTTAAATTTAAATCGTTAAATAAATCGTTGGATTATCTGAGATGGATCCGCCCATAATTAATCGCAGATATTATGTGATTTTCACCGGGAAAAAAACCGGTATGATAAAAATAACAGAGAATTTCCAGAATTTCGAAAATTTCAAAGGGAATTTTTGTTATCAACACAAAAACAGAGGATTGATTTGAAACCATATTATCTTTATTTGGTTGGTTTCAATGTGAAAAGTCGATCTCTTTTGCCTCATGAAATGGTCTTCATGAAAACGTAATTCTTCGTGAATATGTTTAACCAATTATAATTTATCGAACCAACCGGATTCGTGAAAAATACAATTATAATTTCTAAAATTAAGCAACAATTGACAAATGTATATATTTATTGAATAAATTCCCTTTTTTATACATACATTATCACTAATATAGAAAATTATCTTTGACAAAAGATAATATTCCATCGAGGGGCACCAACATAAATATTTATGACGATCCACTCGGTGCTTTGATCATCCAAAATATAACAGAAACACGTGATATAGAACAATTCGCTTATGATTGAAACAATTCTTAAGACCTTTTAGTTACGATTACTATGTCAAACATTAAAGAATTCGCGAAAATCAGGGTAATTTCACTGCGCAAATGATTACCTAATGAATCAAAATTTTGGGAAATCACGAAGATCTGGATCAACTATTTTCTTTAAACCAAAATAGAAAAATTTTCATATAGACCCGTTGTACAAAGACCCATATCCCCACGAAATATCGCAGTCAAATGCGGCTGATAAATATAAAATTTGTCTCAATGAAAGGTATTAGTATATTCTTCTATTCGAGTTGTTAATTCTTTTGCTTGTTATGGATTCTCCTTTTTAAAAAATATCTAGCTTTAATAAAAATTATTTTTTTTTTTTCCTTAAAATTTTCTATTAACATATTAATTTTTCGATCTTAAAAAACCTTTCATTACATATAAATTTTTACAAACACCCGTAATAATTTCCAGATAATATAACGTTTTAGGCTAAATTTATATGACGAACTATGACGAAATAATGTATTAAATATGGATAAGGATTAACCTTCAATGGAAGCCCATTCCTGTCTATGAAAATTTTATGGCGAAACAATTTTGGTATCCCAGACGAAAATTAATCACCTGAATTTCACAATTGAGAATAGAGTAGTGCAACAAAAGTAATGCAAAATATCACATTGGTTATTCATCGTTTATTTAATTAATCTAATTAAATTATTTAATATTATCAAACTTTTCATACGCCTAACCTTTTTAAGATTTAGGTCATTTATAATTAATTTTTCAAAAAAAAAAAAAAAAACCTTTTTGTTGGTAATCCACTTTATTTATCCACATAAAACAAACAAACTTTTGGTTGGTTTCTAATCTATTCCGTGCCCAAAGATTTCCCCCAGTTCTGTCCTTCTGGGCGTTTGTATCCAGTTATCTCTTCTGCATTTCCGTCTGTCGAAATAAGCTGATTGGTATCAAAACCGCGTTTGTGATTGGCTAAATTAAATTCGGTAAAAGAATTAGCAAATCGCAAGGTTATAATGCGTCATAAACTGCAAATAATCTTAGCAACGTGCTCCTGAGCGTGAGATTACCAAACAATTATTCATTATTTATATGTAGACAATTTAATCGCGATTGGCAAATTTTAAATTTATCGTGTAATGCTATGATGTCATTACTCTTGGTTTGAATTTATTATTCTCGCGTATTCAAAAAGCCTATATTGCGAATATTCTGAAGCCTTTTTTGTGTTTAAATTATTTTTTAATAGCGGGTAAAAATATATTTTACATAATAAGAATGTTATTAGTGAACTATGCATTATACAGTATAATAACATTCTCCGTCGGCCAAAAAATATACCGGGCCCTAAAAAAAAACTAATACAGGCTAGTCACTAAATTTGTCAATTTATTTTATGTACAATGCTAGGTTAATTCCAATTACACGAATTTTATGAACAAGATTTCAAAATTCTCAGAACCCGATTTTCCTAGTAATCATCCCGATACCTTAGCTCAATCCATGATGATACACTCCGGATAATTGCAAAGTTAACTTTTTTACGGAATCTGAAGAAATTTTAAACTAAATTGAAATGAAATTAATGAGAGGTTGACAATTAAAAAATTTTAATAATGGGGACAATAATATCAAATTTATTAAATTTGTGTTGTTTACAAGAATGAGTCCATTATCGGAATTACTCCGATCATCTTGTATATCATTTCCTGCAAAGCGTTTATAACAAATAATCTTTTCGTAATTCAAGCCCTTAAATGGCAACGGCACGGACTAGAAAATACTAAACAAGCAAGCAACTTAATAAGAATGAAATTGGAGAAGCTATGATCTAACTAATACATAAAGGTATAATTCCGACAAACTAATAATTCATCGGTAGCAAAATTTACTTGATCGCTTATAACCTTGTTCAAACTTGCTTGGTCCATTTTTTTTTTTTTTTTTTTTTTTTTTTTTTTTTTTGATTGTATTAACATTTTAACATTTTTTTTCTTTGTGGCAAAAAGTTCGCGTTCCTTCTTTTTTTCCTATTAAATTTATTTAAAATTTTTCAAGCAAATAATATTATTGGATTTTTTATTGATTTTATTTGAGTGATACAAATTACCGTACAACCTTATGACGATTTATCAATCGAATACAGCTATAAAAAAAAAAAAATTTTCTTCTTAGACTTTTATTTTTTCTTATTTTCTTAAAAACTTAACCTATCGTTCATATAGAGTTTTCATTTATAACAAATATTGTCATGTCCCATTCGCAAAAATCTTTTGATTTTAATGTACGTATCAAAAATTCTCGATTTTTCATCAATTCGTTATTGACTTTTTTGTTTTTTTTTTTTGAAATTCATTTGATTAGACATCATTTGGTCCAACCGCATTTCCAATCTCATCAACTATTTCACCGATAATGCCCTCACAAGATTCAAATCAATATTCATACATTGATAAACAGAAAGCTAATCCCATCGTTTATCTAATCGAGACCGAAAAGGAATATATAGAGGATTTACGATGCTTGCTTCAAGTAATTTACATTTAAACTTCGTATCATGTTAATTATGATATGTTAACGTTAACTTATCCTTTTTGTTCATAGCAAGTCACAAATAGTTGGAATCATTCTAATCCTCCGCCACCAGAATTGGATGTCATATTTTGTATTCTTAGCAAGATTTATCATCGTAATAACGAATTCTGTTCGGTGTGTGTTATATCAAAAAAAAAGAAACCCCTTTTTTATTTTTACCTAATAATAAATTAATATCTATTTTGTTTTAGAGATTAATGCAAGTTGCATCATCACAACAAATTGGCGATGCTTTAATGGAATGGGTAAGTTTTAGATAATTAGATGTCCTTTTGCATTTGCAACTTTCTTACTTTCTTCATTTCATTTCATTAACTTGTAATTTGTTTTTTTTCCCGTAGATTGAAGAAATGGAAGGACCATATGCTGAATATTGTCAGTGTTATAGGCAAGGAATTGATTCATGGCCTGAGATTGATAATAATTTAAATTTACAGCAAGTCTTGAATGTAATTATTTTAGTTAAATTTTTTTTTTTTAAAAAAAAAAAAAAATTTCTAAAATATTATTATTATCTTCTTTTTTAGAATATATCTGCACAAAGGAATCAACCAGTGTCTTTAGACTTCTTCTTTGAAATACCCCTCAAGAGAATTCATTATTACAAAAAATTATATATGGTGTGTTCTGATTTTATTTTAATTCGTAATAAAATATTTTAAAATATTTACAGCTTATTCTAATGATCTTCTCAATTAATTAGCGTACGATTAAAAGTTTTGAACCTGGATGGTCTGATTATGATAAGTTCGCAGCCGCAATCAAGCGTATGGATGATCTAGTTGAATTAGCAAAGAAAGCTAAAGAGTCGAACAGGCCGAGAAATAATATTTCTTTGCCAGTCCCACAAACCGTATTGCATACGATTATTTCACCGCAAGGAGGTCCGACCATTTCCGAAATAACAAGTCCACAAATTCCTTTAAATTGGACTTTGACAGAGTTGGAAAGTCAACTTGATACGTCACAAGTCACTGATTTGTTCACAAAAAAACTGAAGGTTTGATTTTTTTTTTTTTTAGTAATGTTCTATTCGATATTTATCATTCGGATTTTTAATTTATTTTAATAATTTCTTTAGTCGTTAGATGTTGTACTTACACCGCCTCATCTCCCATTTAAAAGGGAAATAGTACATCATGATGATTTTATAGTTATACTTCATGATGGAGATAGTTCTAATGATCACAGAGCCCATGTGAAAGCTCATTTATTTTTATTGACTGACTTGTTGTTAATCTGCCAGCAATTCACCCCAGAGGAAAGGGCATTAAATCCTTCAAAGGAGCTTAGGCTTTTATATCCACCATTAAGCGGGAGACATTTGATGCTTAATAATTTATACGACAATAAAGAATGTTGGTTGATTTTAAATCTTTTTCATGATGTTTGAAGAAATCAAAATAACTTTATTATTGTTATTTTTATAGATTTGTTGAATCTTGTAGTTTTGCAAAAGGAACATTTGGTTCTTCGTGCGGAGAATCAAAATAAAAAGGAGATGTGGCTTAAAGGATTTACTCAAATGATCGAATTTGCAACAAGAGCAGGCAAGAAAAAAAAAGCAAATTATTTTTATTATGATCGAATTTTTTAATGTATTGTAATTAATTAATTGTAAATCAATTTTTTATAGCAAGCACAAGACCTCAAGTTAATGTAAACCCATCACCTTCGAGAAAAGAGAATATTAATATCCAATTATCAGTACAAGAACCTTTAAGAGATTTTTCACCACCTAAACAAAAGCTTGGTCTTCCATCAAGCCCACTATCAAATGACGCACCGTTACCGCGTTCATCATCTCCTCAAGATAAAAATATCAGCGCACCAAATTCTAGAGATAATTCCCGGGCAGGAGAAAATCAAGAGAGATTGAAATCACCTAAACTTAGTCGATCTAATTCAATGACGTCATTGTCCTCAGTTTCCAGTATTGGGTCATTTACAGAAACGATCCATCAAACACCTCCATGTGAGGTAAATCGTTGGTTTGATGGAGAATGGATTCCTTTAACTAAAAGTGACAAATGTATTGTAGAAATAAAGATGACAAGTTCAAATATTCCATGTTGGGCTGTTCTATTAAAATCAAGTGGGCGTATGGTTCTTAATGCATGGATACATCCCACAACTTCTTTACACAGGGAATCTCCATGTTCAATAAGTGTAGCATGTGAAATGGGAATGGTCAAAGAGTTTTATAGGATGACATTACAAAATTCGATTGACTCGGATAAATTATTTTCGGACTTTTTAAGAATGAAGAATTTTGGACCAAATAATACTCTGCCCGTACCAGGGCTTATATCTCGATCATCATCATTACAAAATAATCGACCGATTCAACCAATGAAAGAAATTGAACAAACGATGACAGATGTTATGGATTCAAGGGTTAAATTATTTTTACAAAGTGATCATGGAATTTGGACAAATTTGGGTTGGGGAAATATGATCCTGTCATTGGAAACCCCTTCACATCGCAAACGAATTACTATTCTATCAGGGAAGAATTCTAAACTAGTTGATAGTTTTATCGAAGACACGGGCGTCGGAAGAGTAGGCAAATCTAGTGTTACCTTTAAAATTAATAATGTAGGTGCTCCTACTCCTATTATTTATATGATGCAAATGAAAGATGATACAATTGCAACGAAAGCTTTCGACATTATGAAAACTGCACCAAAATCATAAAATTACTAATTAATTTAATTATTTATTTATTAATCATAAAATTTTATTGTTATATAATATAATACATTGGAATAAAATAATTTGTAAAAGTTTGTCATGGGATCATCGGAAATTCGCCAATAATATAATATCAATTCTATAAAATATCTTTTTTTTTTTTTTAACATGCGGTAGCTTCGCTATTAAAAAGTAAAGAAAATTTACACCAAGTCTAAGCAAACATTGCACCGTCCCAGACTAATCTAGTTAACGATAATGACTTCATCTTGTGTTTTAGGTTGCCCATACTGTCTTTACCAACTTTTTGAAGGAGAATTGTTCCTTGTTATTTTTTGAACATCGAAACTAATTATTTTAATTAAACAAGTAAACAAAAAAATTCGGCCAAGTCACAAAATTCTTTTTTATGACGCCGGGCGGCCGTCGTTGTATTTCCCATCAATATATCCTCCCTTATGTCCTCTCTAATATTCTCCCTAATTTTTTCTCTAATTTCTTCCTAACGTCCCAACTACTTTGATGCGTAGCATATTTCATCTTCTTGAGTCTTCGTCCTCATTTATTTTTTTTTTTGATGAAAACGTTGCCGCTCTGTTTCTTCATAACTTCGACATTATATCTTTGGGTGATAATAGGAGTTCTACGGTTGAGTTTAGTTTTTTTTTTTTTTTTTGGAACAAACAACACGAAGGGGACGTAATTTTCGATTTTCAGAATTTTTTGACCCCCCATCAGGGACGATGATTTATGGCGTTTCGCAAATGCCACAAACATAATTTCACAAAAATTTGATCCATATCGATATAATTTGTATGCACAAATATGCACAATAAAACACATAATCCGCAGTATAGATAATCTTTTAACATGTAAATCTACTAAACTATAAGTAGAAAAATCATAGATATCATAGACGAACTTCATTAAAATGGCGTCTAGACGAAAAGTCAGTTCTATTACAGCTTATACCCGAGTTGCTGAATACAAAGAAGTATTTCGCGTTGATGATGGTTTACTTTTTTGTAATTATTGTGATCAATGGAAGCATAAATCAACAATTGATGCACATTGTGCAAGTAAAAAACATATTTTACAAAAAAAAATTCTGAAACAAAAGAAAAGGCAAAAGGTCAACAAACATTACAATCATCCTTACTTGCCTCAGAATCAAAAAAAGAAGTAATAGAAGATTTAATAGAAGCATTTGCTAATGCCAACATTTCATTAGAAAAAGTGAACCTCTTACTTACTTTTTTTAAAAAACACCTTAAAGAGGGAGGAGCAATTCCTCAAGCACCAACTTTACGTCAATTATACTTACCCAGAGTTTTTAATAAACATGTGGATACATTAAAATAATTTTTAATGCTAAACCTGTTTGTATTATTATGGATGAAAGCAGTGATGATTGTGCACGAAGTGTAATTAATACCCTTTTTACATATCGTTCAGATACTAAATTAGTATCTGTTGATTTTTTAGAACAAGTTAATAATTCAACAATTGCACAGACACTTCTTCCTATATTACTTTTTTATAATATTCCTTTGAAACTTCCTTTTTTATTTCTCTCTGATTCTGCTGCATACATGAAGAAGTATTATCGAGATGTTTTAAAACCAATTATGTCACAATTAATACATCTACCATGCCCTGTACATATATTAAATCTAATTGGGGTTATTTAAATTAAAAATTTTATATTATTATTATTTATTAATTATTACAAATATTAAATTTTAAATTTTTTTAGTGAAACTTAGCGCGATTTTCCACAATTTTCAATTTTAAAGAATTTTTTGGCTAAAGTAAAGGATTCATTTGTGAAATCTCCTGCACGAAAAGCTCGATATCTAACTCATTTATGTATGAATGGTATTGCAACACCATGTAAAATTCCATTACCAAACAAAACGCGATGAAATAGTTGGTTTAAAATGGTTTTTTACACTAAAGAACACATTCCATATTGGCAAGATTTTTTACAAAATTGAAACAATTGGTACTATCTATTCAATTTTACAAAATACACAACAATTAGGAACTATTATAATCTATACAAATTTTATTTCAACTTATGCTAAAGCATTTGTTCAAGATTTGGATTTTTTTCAACAACAAAAAAAACCAGTTTTTCCATTTGTTGAAACAAGATTAACAAATCTTACAGCTTATCTTGAATCTAATCGGATGGTTACTTATTTTGGTATAGAACTTGAGAATCTTATAACAAGTCTTCACTTTAATCCATCAGCAGTCTATTCTATTTTTCAAGCGGCATTTCAGGCAGCATTCAAAAAATTTGAATTACATATTCCAAATCATCCAACTTATCCTTTATTTTGTGCAGCTTGTATTTTTGATCCTAAATACATGCATCTTGAAAATAATATTTAATGACATAGTATTTATTAATATTCAATTATTAAAGAACTTAATAATTCTTCTGATGATTTGTTATATGAATAGGGTATTTATTGTGAATTGGAATTTGATGAAAATATAGAAGAAAATAAATTGGATATTTATTGGAATAATTTAGCAACGCGTTTACCAATTCTTTCTCAAATAGCATTGAATTATATTTGGTTACCTATATCAAGTTGTGCTGTGAAGCGTAATTTTTCTTTATATAACACTCTCCTAAATAATGATCGTCAAAACTTATCAAAAGATTCACTTAAACAACTAAATATGTTATATTTTAATCGGGATGATTAAATTTAATTTTTTTTTATTAATTGTAAATAAAATTGTAATAAAAAATTTTCACATAATATAAAAAATGCCACAAAATCACACAAAATCAATAAAAATTAGATCACAACACAACACAAAATTGATTTACATCACACACTAAATTTACTTTATATCACCACAAAAAAACATCGTCCCTGGGTCGATCGTATGACCACTCACGGGATACAGTGTAGCACAATAAAATTTATTACATCTTTCCCTTTCCACCTCATCATATTCTTTCCAGTTTCCACCTCATTATATTATTGATATTTATTAATACGTAACAATGGATAAAAAAATGGATAACGTTTTTGACTCTACTAGCTCTATTTTCGATAACCTAAATCTTCATGTCAAACCAATGGACTCCTCCATTAAGAACGGAATGGACACTAGACGAGGTAATTTTTAAGAAACAGGAAAAAGAAAAAAATTCTTAAGTAATTCTCACCCTAGATTTGGGAGCGCATCGGGGAAATGGCGAGAAGGAGCAGAAGGGGACGAACAGTATACAACAAAATTCTTCTTCCGTACAAGGACAGCAACAAAATTTTCAACGATCTGGAGAGACGTCCAAGACCAATAATATTGAGGGCGAATGGAGCCTTGATCACTGTAGCAACCCCATCAGACACTCTCTGCTACTTGTACACGATCAATATAAGCTTCCCAAAGAAGAAAGGAACAAAGAAAAATCGCGAAAATTATCTAAGACAAGTGGAGTTGATTTTTCAGCACCAAGACCAAATCTGTCGATGGATATCAATGATGGAATCCGATCGCACCAAACAACCATATACAGTCAACGCCTCCTGGAAAACCGCAGACCAGAAAAATATCATCAACGTTGCATTTGGTGCATCGGCTTCAACCAACCGGAAATACAAGAGAGAAGTGTGCAGAATTCGGCGAGAGAACGACAGATACCTTCTTCCTCGGGACCAGTATGGGAATGTGATTCCGGAACTGGAGAAGTGGGAGTTCGGAAACTGCTCGGAGACGAATGCTTGGACATGTTTATGCCAGTGGAGATCAGATCTCTAAATCAAGTCTCGAACAATAACAGTATACGACAGGATAACAAAGGATCCATGCAAAAATTGCAAAGCTATTCAGAATTGGTTGACAGGTTAAAGGATGATTGTGAGTTTCGTGAATTCTATGAACCTGTAGATAAACGGTTAATTGACCAAGAGAATAGGGAATTCTTCGGTAAAGAATATGGTATCACACCTATTCACCCACTGCTTGTAGATCATTCCAGATCTGTTCTTCTGTTTTTAGATGATCGTGGTATTATGTTTATGTGGAGTGAATCGGAAAGTGAGATGTGTATCTTGGGAATCAATAAATTGGAAGGTCTTGCGAACTATCTTTACCACCCAGATAAGATATGTGTCGTTATGGAAGACACCGGTGAGCTGGTACTTAAAGTGGAACTTAAACGCCGTGAAACGGAAGAGTTTGAAAATAAAAAGTTGGCGGAGAAAAATAAGGAAAAAAGGTTGGCAAAGAAAAAAAGGTTGGCAGAGGAAAAAAGGTTTGCGGAAAAGCAAAAGTGATCTGGGCGTTTCACTATAAAAAGTACACGTTTTGCCATTGATCTTTCTGATTGGTGTGATCTTCGTGGTTTTAGAATCATTCTTCGAATTTACTCCGGTTGGTTATTATTATGACGTCCTTTATTTTTTTACATGAGATGTGCCCTTGACATTTTTTATTTTATAGCTTTATTCAATGCTTTTTTTGTAATCATACAGCCATTTTCTAAGAAAAATAAAAATCATGCGACCACGTGAAAAAAAATTCATGTGCTTTTTGTCAAGAAAATCAAGAAAACTTTTGTTAATACAGAAATAAATTTTGCCTGTAGTACATGACAAAGTCCATTCTGCTAGCAAATTTGCGTGAGGGCCGTCATAGAAAAATGCAAAGAAAAAAGTAGGTATTAGATTTCCGGGACCGCGCGGATTCGGAAAAAGCCAAGAAAATTTTTTTTATTAATACATGCGAAAAATAAATACAAAGTTCGGGACTCTGCCCGCGATACATGACGTCTATGTAATATACATCCAATTTTTTCGAACGATATTCCTCTATTCTAGCCTTTTTCTTTCCGATTTGTCCTCCACACATGCTCTATCTTCCAATAAGCCAATGATCATGCCTAAAAACCCTTACGCAATGTTTGGTATTCTTCAGACTTCTCATCCAAAGCTTCTTCGGTAAATTCTATGCTAAAAGGTGCCTTAGTCGCCTGTAAAATTTTCCATTTATTTCTTGTAAAACACGTGGGTGTGTCTTTTTTTTTCACACGTACCACTAATTCCGGATTAATGTGTGATTAGCCTATACACGTGCGCTAATGTCAGTAAAATATACCGTTTATCTGAGGATCTGTAAATCATAGATTCTAACCCACCCAATCGCACAATTTCCATTTTCGATTAGTTCGATCGATCTACACATATAAATCAGATGTATTAATTCGAACTTATGTAATAAACCTTCGAGTAAAATATGGCAAATATATTACGACAAAAACACGATACTAATAGTGTTTTTCACAATTTGAAAAATAATTGTATTACTGATTAGTCATGCCTGGTGAAAATATCTTCCTATAGTCGAAATAATGAACGAAAAAGCTGAGAATTGTCAAGTCCTTCAGATCTTTGGCGATGCTAAATCTCTTGAAAGTGCTTTAGGTCTAGGACTAGCAAAGAAACTTGTCGAATTAGCTGAGGAGTTGCCAAAAACAAGCAACTTCAAATTCCAAGTAAAGAAGGATGAAATGGAGTGAAAGAAATAAAGGTAATATTCCTTTAGTGATAATAATTTGTGCGATTTCGAAATTCAATAATTACTAACCTACTTTATACAGATATCAGTTGATTCATCAACTTCCTCTGAAAGCAAGGAATTCTTGTCCAAAGATCAAAAGACTGTAACTAATGAACCTATTGAAAGAGATCTTGAATCTATAAGGATTGATATGAATAATGCTATTAAAGATAGGGATGAGAAAATTGGAGAATTAATTAAGGAAATTGATGGATTTATTCTGAAGAAAAAAAAATGGTGAATGTGGAAGAGGGTATGTCCATACCTCAGACTATAATCATCATAGAAAGAATTGTGACATTTCAAAACATTAGTACATTTCCATCTTTGCTTTCAGGATTTGGAAAAACTAGCTGGTTAAGTAGTTGGAAGACAAATGTATGAATTTTGTTTTTTCCCAACACTATTCATAAGTCTACAAAACATAAAAGTTAATTACTAGTTAAATTGGTCTTTTATTCTTTTCTAGAATTTGGTTTAACTTTTTGATAAAGTATTTTTCAATAATAAATATCAATAATTTTAAGATTTTATTTTTCTGACACACACACATTAATACATGTGAAAAATAAATACAAGATCAGGACTGCACCTATGATATATACATAACATCTATGCTATTATTTTTTGATAATTTTTTCAATTCTGACCCTCTTGCTAGTTGGGGAACTACTAACACTAACCCTATCTTTTAATAGTCCAACAATTATACCTATTACCCTTTTCACATTGCTTCGAAGTAATTCAAAATCTTCTTTGATGGCAGATTTCATGAGATTAATCTGGTATTCACTACTACTTGTATAGTAAATACCGTCTGGAGTATATATAATAAAATGTCACTCTGCCTCTATAGTCACAATGTCATAAAGATAGTCAAAGTAATCTTCATTAAATGCTTGATTCGCAGTTCATTTTTTCTTATTTGTTTAGAATGCATTTTCAAGTTGTGTCAGATTCTAAAAGATAAAATACATCATCCTTTGTCTGAACGCCTTTGGTTGTAATTGTTCTCATTAAAAACAATATACTAGGAGGATAAGCAGACTTACTTAAGCATATCTAATTTTAATATTACGTGGTTTCCCTTTGATGATACAGAAAAACTCTTTTAGACTTTTGATTGTGTAGTCCACTCAGCCTGTCGCATCTTCACCAGAAATATCTTTTTGCAAACCTATGAATATATCTTGAGAGGTAAGGTTTTTAGCTATAGTGATGGACACATGTAATATTGCTAAAATAAATTCACAGCATGTTATCTTGTTAGCATCAGTCATGCTTTTCACATTAGATAATTTTAGAATTATATCATCTATACAATGATCAAAAGCCTTATCATCATCAATTAATTTCCTCGAAGACTGCGGAAAAAAAATAAGATTAGCATAACTAGTCAGTTCTAAAAAATTTATTAATCACTTACCAGGAGTAAACTGTTTGATGTTTGTTATATCTTCTCTATTGATCTTATTTCTATGTAACATTTCTTTCAAGTCATCAAGAGTTTTAAGTGAAGAGTAGTTTCGTAATTTCTGGCTAAGACTTTCAATGAATTCTACAAAAATTGTTGCAGGTTCTCCTTTCATACCATAACATTCAAGTTTTTCTTCAGTTAATTTGAGAAAAGAGCAACTGATGATTTTTTCCTTTCATAAAATTTTAAAGTGAGACTCTTTAAGCTTCAGATCTTTCCTCCCCAAATAATCGATAAGCTCCTCTGTATTAAAATCCTTAACCATGTCTGACATTATTTGAGAAGAAATTTCTTTCGTTATTGAACTTGAAGAAAAAGGTGTAGAGGTTTGTGAAGATATAACTTTTATATATGTGAGTTTGTGCTTGCAAAAAAATATGCACTTGACTACAATTACAGGTAAAGCTGATTTATGGATATAAAAGTATTTTGGTTTTAGCGCTTGGAAAGAAATAATAGATTTTTTTTGTATTGATTCATAATGCATTTATCCAATATATATACAATTAAAATGTAATACAGGATTATCAGGTGATTATATTACATCATTACACGTGACTTTTTCAAGATTTATGATAAGAACATAATGTATACTTTATTTAAGAAATAAAAAAATATTGCCAGAAACCAACCTACAATACATAAAAATTACAACTATATTGCTATTACATAAATATAGATAAAAAATTTCTTAATTTCCATTAAGGAGGAGAATTTAGATATGGATACGGTCTTCATCATCAGGTGTCCTATTAAAATAGGAGAAAATCCTATCTTTTGTTCACATAGGCTTCTCTTTAGGATAAATTTGACAGAGAAAATCATTATGATTGATTAACCCCAGCTTCTTTTTTACTTTTACTTCAAGATCTGAGACTTTTTTATCCTTAAAAATCTTTATTATGAAAAGTATATTTTTATTTTTAGCATTACAGTAGCAGAAGTTAAGACTAATAATATTATTTTTTTCGCTGAAAGACATCTTATTTTCCTAAATATAAGAACTCATAGTGAGAACTTCGCTTCTATACATACATACAGTGACGTCCATAATTATTGTTCCACTTCGTTTAAAATTTTCAAATCATAATACCCATGCAATTAAATAATAATAAAATTGAAAATTTAAACAATTTTAAAGTCTGTGACTTTATTTTTAATATATTTAAATTTAATTGATACTTTATTTGTAAATTTTTAAAAAATTTCACGTTATATATTTTTTTCGTAGAACAATACTTTTGGCATATATAAAGAATAAACTAATTACATAAAATTCTTTGATTTGTTGCTAACCTACTACACCTCAAATTTTTTTTAATATATTATTACCACTTTGTATATCCTCCATTAGCCTTAAATACATCTTTAATTCTTTGTGGCATTGTATCAATTAGTTTCAAACAAAAGTCAGTATCCATTTGATTCTATATCAGTTGTATCTTATTCCATAGATCTTCTGCACTAGTAATATTATCAGGAAGCTACCGCAATTGACGATCAATTTCGTTCCACAGATGTTCGATAGGATTTAAGTTCAGTGATTGTAATGGCCAATCCAAAATCTTAACATTATTACTATCAAACCATTCGTATGTCTTTTTTGCTGTATGTTTTGGGTCATTATCCTGTTAAAAAATGACATCATCTACATTTAAATCACATTCGCTAAGGGTTCTCATGAATTCATCTGCCAAAATCTTTCGATATAACTCTCCATCCATTCTTCCATCAATTTTACAGTACTTTCCTACACCAAATGCACCCATACAACCCCATATCATTACAGAACCTCCACCAAATTTTACAGTCAGCTTAATATGTTGTGGTTGCAAAGGTAATTTTGGATCTCTCCAACACCATTCCCTTCCATCTGAACCAAAAATTAGAAATTTACTCTCATCTGACCACACTACCCTTTACCAATCTTCTGTAGTCCAATCACGATACTTTTTAGCAAAGTTTTTTTGAGCAATTCTATGTCGTTTTAGAAGCAATGGCTTTTTCTTTTTAACTTTAGCTGCAAGACCTTGCCTTTTTAATGAGCATCGAATTGTATTTGTAGAAACAATAATATTTTCGTTGGAAATTAAATTTTTTTGAACTTGGATTGCATTTGAACATTCACATGACTTAATAAGCCTAGTAACATTTCGATCATGACATTCCGTAAGTATTTTTGGGCAGCCTGGTCTTGGTATAGTATCAAAAGAACCTGTTTTTTCTTTTATTTTTTTGATTCTAATTACAGAAGAATGACTAACATTTTCGCGAGAAGCTATCGTATGACTTGGTATTCCCTCTTGAGTGAGAGAAAAAATACGTTCCCTTTGATGAAACGGAATCGGCTTCATAATTATACTAAAAAAAAAAAGAAAATCCCAAAGAAAGTCGTACAAACTGATCTACAAATTTATTTTATTTATATGTGTAAAACGCGTTACACGATCACCATTTTATTTTGTTTATTTTTAAATGCCAAAAGTATTGTTCCACGAAAAAAATACATAACAAGAAATTTTTTAAAAAGCCACAAATAAAGTATTAACCAAATTTAAATATATTAAAAATGAAGTCATAACCTTTAGAATTAGCTAAATTTTTGGTGTTGTTTTTACTTAATTATGCGAATATCACGATTTAAAAATTTTAAATGAAATGGAACAATAATTTTGGAAGTCACTGTAATTAGGATCAAGCTGCGCATGAAAAGGTGGTAATGATTTAATTAGTAGTGATTCACTTGTAGATCTCTTAGGTTTGCGATGCTTTCATCAGGACATTTAAGATCATATTTCGTTGTTCTTGAGATAAATATTTATAGTAATAATTTGTTATTATCCACACATTTAAAACCTGTAAGTTTCCAAAACAATTTGTGAGAAATGAAATCTTTTGGTTTACAATACTACGATTTATTAAATAGTTAATCATAAATGCATTTACGTTTGAAAATAAATAGTTTAAATTATTCTGGATAGATATCTTATCCTTGACAACTAGATCCATGGTCATTGCCGGCCAGGGGCCAGCTTTAATATTTTATTAATTTTTAATAATAGCGCGCAATGTTTTTTAATAAATTTTTTGATTTTAATTTTGATTTTTTTAATTATTTTTTTAATGCTTAATTTTTTATTATTGTGATTTTTTTTGATTTTGATTTTTGGGTTTCGTTCTTTTTTTATTTTAATATTTTTTCTTTTATTTTTTTTCTTTTTTATTTCCCCTGGTCTATTTCATTTTTTTTTATTTTTTTATTTTTATATCGCGATTGCGATTTTTTATTTTTATTTTTTTCTAATTTTTGGCGATTTTTTTTTTCAAATTGAATGGTATGCTGACTAAAATTCTTTTTTTTATTGATTATTGATTTTATTTTAGGTTAGATCGATTCCCTATCTTAGGCTAAAATTTTAAAACGAAACCCGTCCGGTTCGTCACAAAGGTAATTTTTTTTTTGATTATTGATTTTTTCTTTTCTTATTTTGATAATTAGTTCTGATTACCATTTATTTGATTGTTTTATTTTTTTTTCTTAAGCGAGTTCAGACTGAATTTTTGAAGAATTTTTGATCAGTGGCGAAAACTGGTGACTAAAATTATTTATTTAATGCATTATTCTTTTATTTTATTATTTTCACTATTATTTTTTGGGAACGGTTATAAAATGGTATCACCTGACACCAACAACTATATGGCATGAACTGTATATAATGTTAAAAAAAAATAATGGTGATCACAAAATTTGGTAAGTGAATCATATGATTATGCAACGTTGCTTCGTTGATAGATTGAAGGTATACAGTTTTTATTTTACAAATTGCAGATAAATAGAGATAAAATATATAAATCTGCGATATAAATATACAAAATATACAAATTTCTGATTGTAAATTCCCAGGGCTCTGGCAAATTTTTTTCTCTTAGTTTTTCGACCCTTTAATTTGAATCCAAGGAAAAAGTCTTAATAGCATCCTATGCTCTACAAATCACAAGCATCCCCGAATAAATCAACCCTAATGTATTATACCCGGTAAAGATACCTAAAAATAACAAGAGATATGCTACTATAAAACTACATGTGAAAAACCAAACATGTAACCACCCTTTCCCAGACATGATTAAATCACTTTCTCCTTTTATATGCCAAAAATAAGCCAAAGCACTGTTAAATGATCAGATGGAGGTGATTACTGTTACATATTTGCTGCGACAAAAATATCCAACCAGGGGTGTAAAGTAGACGATAAGTGCTATCATCCAAGGATAAACTATTAATTATCGTAATGGTTACACATTTATGAAATTTAAGTTTATCTTTAGGATCGTTATCCACAATAATTTGTATCTTGTCAAAAACATCGCTAGGATCTTTGACTATTAGAATCCCGTAAAATCCTCTTCTCCAAATTGCTGGAATTATCTAAGACAATAATAATGGTAAATATGCCCAACCTTCACAAACTATTTTTCCTTGAACCATGGAAAATCCTGCCGTTAAACCGATCATAATGTAATATGCTGAAACCAATGAAGATAATCTTTATAGCACGGATGCATTTGCCGTGCATCATTCTACATATTCTTTTATATATTTAGTTTCATTGCATGAAATCCAAAAGGTCTGTATTTTGGTTCCTTTTGTGATTTCTTTGTCATTTGTTTCTTCTTCGTTATTTGTGTACTCCACGACTGTAAAGTTATTTTCTGAAAGCCAGTATATGCAGCGGGATACTTCATTACCTCCAACGTTGAGGGAGTGAAAGAGTCCATCAAAAGGGCATCCAAGACACCTAAGCAATCACATAATCTTTTCACGAAATTTACGATAGGGCGAATCTCCCATAATTGCAATGACTGGGAGACTACCAAGAACGTATTCAGGTATAATCTTGTACAGTGCTAATATAGTCTCTGCCATTTCTGCCATTTTATTGTATAAAAGATATTAATGCAATGGGTGAGTGTTGCCAAATTTTTTAATAAAAATAAATTTCGATTAACAATGAACTTATAATGATCAAAAACAAAAACGAAATAAAATAAAAATAATTATAAATTAATAATTATATATCAATGAAAAAAATAAAAATGATTTCATTTTATTGTGAAAATAGAAAAATAATAAGTTTTTTTGGCGTAAATTTATAAAAAAAAAAAAAGAAAAGAAAAAAAAGAAATTAAATTGTAACATGTTCGAACCATAAAAAATTCTTTGCATATAATTTAGATATATCAACCTTAAGTTAAAATATAAGGATATTAATGCATAAAAATAAAAAATGTTAGTTTGTTTACATTGTTAACTTCTCTTTCTAAATGAACTTAAAAATAATTAAATCGAAAATTAAATATAAAATTACGATTTATAAAAGTGGTCGTACTATATTGTCGCTCATTACGGAAAAAATAAAGCAAAATCTAAAGTTAGATTATGCAGGCTGTAAAAATTGCATGAATCATTTCTTTTAAAATTCTTTATTTAGTTGATGTTTTATCAAAGATTAAATTATTATCAAGCATGTAAATAATGGCTCGAGTTTCGTAAACCTTATCTGAAAAATGATTGAATAATCAGATATTTGGCTGAGATTTTCTTTTTCTATATTTGTTATAGATCGGTAGTATGAGAAAGAAAACGTTTTGTATAGTTTCTTATCATTATCATGTTCGTTTATAACTGTTAGAGATTATTAGAAATGATAATCTCTGAAATAATCATGAGTCAGAAAAAACATCAGTTTTAAAAAACGATTTTTTTTGGAAGAAAGAAGCTAAAAAAAAGGTAGTTACTATGAAAAAAAATTCTTCCACATTAGCTACACTAATAAATAAACTATTAATAATACTTGTTTTAATATTTATATTATTTTATTAGTTTATAATTTTACATTGTTTTTCTAAGGGGTTATTCCAAAAAAACTTTTTCTAACGTGTAGTTAGATAAGTTATACTTTTTCTCTTTTCATAATATCAATTTAACTATGAGGAATACAGAATTAATTAAATTTTTATCAGCTGTAATTTTTGAAATTAGTTTTTTAATTCTTGTGGTTAATTTTGTATATCATTAGTGGTTAACAAAATGAATCTTTTGTATTGTTGCAGTATTAATAGTTGTACGTTCATCTATATTTTCAAAAAAAAAAAAATTAAGGATAATAAATAAAAAAAAATATCGAAGATGTATTACCATTAAAAAGTTGCTTTATCTTGAAATGAAGTTTTTTAGCATATTAATTGTTCTTTTTTATTAAATAAAACAAGTTGTCTTCTATGAATATATTAATAAGTTCGTTAGTAGGTTTTTCAAATGTATAATTCGCCTAAAATAAAAATTGTTAAATTACATATTAAGCTTATCACAAAAAAGTAAAATTTACCTTTTTTCGTGGTTCTCAAAGAGTAGTTATTCCATTTTTTTAAAAAAATTTGGTATAAATGATGAGAAAGAGATTATAATGAACTTCTCTTCATAATTTTAAGTCAACTTCATAAAATCACTCGATAACTTATAAATATAGTTTGAGTAATAATAATGTATTTTTACCAGTTGCACATCACGAAAAATTATTTCGCTCGAATCAAGATAAGCTCCAAATCTTGATTCAAAACTTATAATTATAAATCTTTAAGTTTGCAATTTATAGTTATTATAATAATTCAATATTTTTTTCTTTAATATTTTAAAATAATAATAAAAAGATTATTTTAAAAATATCTCATGTATAAGCGATTTAGTTCGATCATAATAATGAACATGAAATTCAGAAAATATTGCTTTTTTACAAAGTAAAAGTATTTCAATCGGTTAAAGGTTATTTTTAAAACTTATTATCCTTTCTAAACATCAAGTTTGCCAATAGTATTATACATAATATTTATTTTTTATCTGACTTTTGTAGAGTTTCCTGCAATTATAAAAAAAAATTATTTTGATTTTTGACACCATAAAGTTTCAATTCCGTCGTTGATAAAATAGGTCTACAAATTTATAGTTGAATATTAGAGTAATCATTTATTTAGAAGGTACAGAAGAGTTATACATAATTAGCTTTCGACTCACTTTGAGCAAAACAAAATACCTACCCATTTAAAGTTTCATTATCTAAATTATCGTTTCACTCAAAATGTATGCAAAATTATAAACACGCAATAAATTTTTGGGGTGTTATAATCTTAATCAAATTTTTATATGATTATTTTTTATATTGGTATCTGGAAATAACTGTATGATGGGAATGGGAATCTATCGAAACGGAACTGACCAGCTCATCACTGCGGCGAAGGTAAGCCATCGATTATTTTCATTTCTTTTTTTTCTGTGTATTATTAAATATTTTTTTTTTTAATATTTAATGTTTATTCTCTTATTTTTTAGGTACGATCGGTGCCTCCGCTTTGGCTAAAAACCGGACGGAATCTTCGAAATGGAACTGACCGGCTCGTCACCACAGCGAAGGTAAGCCATTAATTATTTTCATTTCTTTTTTTTTCTGTGTATTATTAATTATTTTTTATTTTTTAATATTTAATGTTTATTCTCTTATTTTTTAGGTTCGATCGGTGCCTCCGCTTTGGTTAAAAACCGGACGGAATCTTCGAAATGGAACCGACCGGCTCGTCACCACAGCGAAGGTAAGCCATTAATTATTTTCATTTCTTTTTTTTTCTGTGTATTATTAATTATT